AGCATGTCTCTCCATGCCTGATGCTCGAACCGTTTAGCATAAGCATCCCTGGCATTGTCTGGGTACTCGTGTAGGTAATGCTCCATTCCTGGGCTGGTGAAATCGCTCATTTTGTCTCTGACGTACCCCAAAAGACGCTCCTGGAGTTTTATAGACTGCTTCTCCGCATCATCGCCGCACTTCTCCCGCAAAGCTGGCAGGAGATCCTTGCGTAGGAGAGGCTTGTTGTTGTCACGCTCGCCGACTCTTGCAGGATCACGGTTCAGCCATTGGCAAACATGGGACATGACAATGCTCATTACCTTCCCCTCCTGCTTCGTGGTCTTAAGGAGGGAGTGGACGTCCGCAAAGCCTAGGTCTGGCGTTGAAAGCACAAATCGATACAGACTATCGTATACGTCGTCGCCAGCTGTCAAGAAAAGGTTTTGCTGCCGGCAGAGGGTAACGTCTTTTTGGTTGTCCAGGTTAGGGTAGAATAGTTGTTGAACATCTGCGGGCTTTCGTACTTGCGGGAGACTTGCCAACTGAATCCAGTCACTAGACTGGACGTCAATGCTGAATTTACTGCGTATTTGAGATATTGAGTCGATTACAGAGTGGAACGTGGTGAACCAGAACTGTTTTACTCTTAGTGCGATTCCAGTTGCTCTTAGTAGTATCCACTTACATCGTCGATCCTGCAGCTCGCCATCCATTCAAATGTAGAAATGTTAAATGTTGCCTGGCCAAGCGAGAATTCGCACCATCTTGTAATCATTTGCTTCCAATTCTGATTCCTCCATAGAGTGCCTAGTCGCCTCACTGGAAATTTGACTCGACCACTTAGCCCAAGGTGTTCTAGCATTTGCCGCTCTACCTCTGTCTTTGGGCCCTGGAAAAGTGTATTATCTGAAGACGACAAGGTCGCCAACTCTGTCCATATCTGGCCATGGTTGTCAGGCAGAATTAAATCTTCTCGGTTAGCCCGAAGCTTAGTGCGTAGATGCGGTGGCAGTGCGTCTTGTTTTGTATTAGCTTGCATTGGTTCGCTTGTCTCAGGGGGGGCGGGTTTCAACCTTTGTCGTAAATGTCGCAAATCCACCATCGCTCTTCCTTGCCGCAACCCAAAAGCCGCAGGCGCTTCTTCAGAGCCTCTACTCTATAATTGCCCGCCATAAGTTCGGCGTTCTCTCCTACTACCATATCCCAATCTTTAAATGAAGGCCACTCAAACTCCTCTCCCCGCATATCCTCTCTTGCAGCGGCAACCTGTCCATCCTGCGCCTGCTCCCAGCTGAGATGATCTAGCATCTTCTTCACCTGCTCTTTGGTGCACGCTATTCTAAGTCGATGACCTGGGTCCCTTCAAAGAACGCCTTGTTCACTAAATATCTTACAAAGCCGCTGCTTGTGCGCCTCGTTGATGGATCGGTTTCCGCCGACAGTCCATTCTGGGGTGAGTGCATCGATCGGGAATTTCGCTGTCGCCAGTTGATACGGTTTTGCTAGCTCATAAACTAACTCTATCTCCTTAAGGGCTACAGCTTTAGACTTAGGCTCTTGACAACACTGCTTCTTCCTTCCCTCACTAGAGGTTGATGGGTTTTGGCGTTTCATTTTGCAATAGGTCTGGTGTTAAATGCGAACAAGAAGATGGCAAGAAGAGGGAAGGCAAGAAGAGGGAAGGCAGAGAGAAGGCAGAGAGGAAGCGCACGCGGTTATTTGTTTTAGCGAAGCCACTTTAGTTCTTACTCTAAGGGGTAAGGATGCCGGGGGCGGGAAGCTTGTACCCTCTTGGGGCAAGCCTTTCGGACAGAAACCACATGCAAGGACATAGTGGAGAAAGATCTTGCCCCTAGGGGCAAGCCTTTAGTCTAGAGCCTAGCGGCATATAGATGCAGGGCAGGCGGCTCTTGCCCCTAGGGGCAAGCCTTTAAGCTAGAGGCTAGAGGCAATGGATTCAGGGCCAGGACTTCTTGCCCCTGGGGGTAAGCCTTAATGGCATATACAATATATACATTCTCGCCCTGGGGGGCAACTTAACCCTATGGCAGTAGTACTGTTTCCCACCTAAGTATTGTACGCAGGGTGTCAAAAGAGCTCTCCCTGGTAGAGGTTTGAAAACAGCTCGATTGACTAGCAAGCGATTGCCGGGCTCATAACTGTGAAGCTATGTGGGGCACCAAAGACATGAGGAACTGGATTGTATTGCTAAAGGAGGGCAACTACGGGTTTATATAGTACTAGATGAACCCATCATGTGACTTAAGGCCACCAATAGCTCTAGGCTGCAGCAGGTGGCATTGCTAGGCAGCAGTACGCCAAAGGAGTGTTGGTGGCTAGCGCATGGAGAGCTCCGTAACTGCAAACACTATGTGTGCGCGCTTACTCTAATAGTAATCTAAATTAATATTAAGTCTATCTATAATAAAAGCTTACTATTATTTAAATATAAGTTCTTTACTATTTATAAAAATCTTAATCTTAAGCGTGTGTTTAGTAAAGTAAATTTAATAAGTTTAAAAGGTGCTTAAAAAGTCTCTTACACTTAAAGTAGTAAGAGTGGTTTAGTAGTTAGTAGAGGTTAACTAGTAGTTTTTAGCTAGATTAGCTGCCTAAACTATGCTTATGATTAAGTAATCTAATTATTAATAAACATACTACTAAAGATTAACTTTAAATTAGGTAGAGGTATAGCTTTAAGTGCTATAGAAGTAGGTTTAGCTATTAATATAAATTATTAATTAACTCTAGAAAGCTTGCTTTAGCTAGAGCGTATTTTAATTCTAAAATTCAAGAGTAGTTAGGTAAACATTAGCAGTTACCTTTAATTTTAATAAGTTATTAGTAGTCTCTAGGTTCCTATCTTAGCGCACTTTATATAACTTTTCTAAAGGTAATTTTAATTACAGAGGATAGAAAGTTCTAAACCTAAAGGCTTTAGTTAATAAAAAGTCTCTAGTATTCTATTTACATAACTAAGTAGTTTAACGTAATAGCGTGTAAACATTATAACTTAAACTGTAACAATTCTTATGAATCGTTCCATCTTAGGTCGCCCGGAACCTCCGGAAGACCCTTGTATCGGCCCCGACCTTAACCTGGCCCCGACTCTGCCTAGCCCCCTGCTGTACCCCTATTCCTCCATGTATTTAGTCGCACCTTGCCTCTGTAGCTAGCTTAGTAGTTTTCTAATATCCTTTTGTACAAGGCCTATAGGTGTTAATAGCATTCCTAGGTTCTAAGTCCCCACGCACTTCTATA